GTCTCTCCTCAAAAATAAAAATGAACAAAAATTTTTTTTAAAACTAACTTTATTTTCAGAAATATTTTTAAAAATTTAGAAACAAATAAGTCACTATTAATAGTTGTATTTTACATTATTCTTGACATTCTCTTATCCCTTTATTTCCAAGAAACAATTTTCTCCTATTGTATTTTTTTGTCTTCCTGTCCCTCAGGTTATTTGGTAAACTTCTTCCTTCACCTGTCCTTTAAATAGTGGTGTTCTCCAATTCTGCCCTTGGCTTTATAGTCGTCTTAACTTTACACCTTCTCTTTAGATATTTTCATGATGACCTTTTTGAAAGAAGATACACATATGCACATGTACATACATACCCTCATAGAGTAAAATGTACACATGCCTATAGTTTCAAACTCTATAATTTCAGAGCCTGTAATTGGCACAATAAGTAATTCTTTACTCATTTGTCGTCCCTAGAATTAACCACTGGGTTATCCTTCTAAAGAGATTATTTGCATCTGCTAGTACATATGTATTTGTAATTTTACTTAAATAATTATTCTTTTCGAAGTATTTTAATACAAATGGCAGTGTACTCTTTTTTTTTTTTTTTAAGTTTATTTTGAGAGAGCGTAAGCAGGGGAGGGGCAGAGAGAAAGAGAGTCCCAAGCACACTCTGTGCTGTCAGCACAGAGCCCAAAGTAGGGCTCAAACTCAAGAACTGTGAGATATGACCTGAGGCAAAATCAAGAGTCAGATGCTTAACTGACTGAGCCACCCAGGCGCCCCCAGTAGTATATTCTTCATACTTAATTGCATTTTTTCCACCTAATGATATGTAGAGGATCATTTAATGTCAGTATTTGGAGATCTGTTAACGTTCATTTTAGTGGTTACATAGCATTAAAAAAAAATTTATATCCCCCTTCCCCCCTACTGCACATTTTATTTTAGAAGAATTCAAATTTACAGAAATATTTAAAAAACAGTACAATTAGCACCCACCTGTATACCTACCTACCCTTTTTTCTGTTTCTTTCCTGAATCATTTGAAAGTAAAATTGTAGCTATTGTGATAGTTTATTTCAAAATTATTCAGTATGTATGCCTTATGGACTAGGAATTCTGTAGATCCACAATACCTTTATTACATCAAAGATTTTTAAGGTCAATGCAGTATTATCTATTATTAAGTTCATATTCAAATTTCTACAGCTGATTCCAAATATCCTTTATAGTGTTTTTTTCTCTCTCCAGCTAGGAGCCAATCAAGAATTAAGATTTATGCTTGATTGTCATAGGCCTTTCATTTAACAACTATCTAAATAGATGACTAACCTAAGATCTCTAGATCCAACCCTTTACTGAAGCTGACTTAAATATCTATGACATATATTTATTTGGTTGTCACATTGACACCTCCAAAATAGCATGTCCAAAACAAATTCCGTGTAAGGGGCACCTGGGTGGCTCAGTCGGTCGAGCGTTTGACTTCGGCTCACATCATGATCTCACAGTTCCTGGGTTTGAGCCCCGTGTCAGGCTCAAACCTGAGCCTGGAGCCTGCCTCAGATTCTGTGTCTCCCTGTCTCTGCCTCTCACATACAAATGCTCATGTCTATCTCTATCTCTCTCTCTCTCAAAAATAAAAATAAAAATTTATTTAAAAATTAAAAGCAAACTCTGTTTTCTGCTCTCAAACCTACTTTTCCTCCTATAGTCCCACCTTATTGAATGGTATCATTCAAATGTTGCCTTAACGAGAAGACATGAAGTCATCCTAGGCTCTTCCTTCCTTGAGACTGTATGTGCTACTCTCTTTGCCTGGAATTCTTTCCCTATTTTGTCTACCTTTCCACTAGTTCATTCTTAATCAAGACCCAGATTAAGCGTTACTTCCTTGAGCAAACCTTTTCTGACCCTTTTTTACTCCAGGCAGAATTAGATCTATCTCCAGTAGGCTCCCCTTGTATCCTGTACACGCATTTATCCCATCAGTTCTTACTTTGAGTGTGAATTGTTGGTTGATGTACCTGCCTTCTTGATTAGAAAGTAGGCTCCTTGAGTTCATATGGACTTAATTTTGTCTTCTATCCTGGGTGTAGTAATACAGTGCCTGGCTCATAAGTGTTTAATGAATATTTATTGAATGGAAGAATAGGTTTATACATAGTCTTCTCTTTAGCAAGTAAAAATAAAGATATTTTAAAGCTTAACTTTACCTGGAATGCATTTGTTGAATTCCTACTACGTGCAGTTTCATGCAAGTAGTAAGACTGATTTTCTGCCTTGAAGAGAGGTTAAGGTGACAGGATTGGAGGGTGGGCAAAATGGGTAAAGGGGGGTCAAGAAGTACAACCTTCCAGTTATAAAATAAATCATGGGGATATAATGTTAACATGGTGATTACAGTCAGCAATATTGGGTTGTATATTGAAAATAGCTAAGAGTAAATCTTAAAAAGTTCTCATCACAAGAGAAAAAATTTTGTAACTTTGTATGGTAACATACAAATAGATAGATATATGATAACTAGATTTATTATGGTGATCATTTTGCAGTGTATACAACTATAGAATTATTACATTGTGCACCTGAAACTAATATAATGTTATGTATGTCAATAATATATCAATTAAAAAGAAAAGAAAGGTTTGCGTCTACTTGAGAAGGTAAAACCAGTATACTCCAGGGTTAAACAATACTAGAAAGGGGCACCTAGGTGGCTCAGTCAGTTAATCGACCAAGTCTTGATTTTGGCTCAGGTCACAATCTTAGGGTTTGTGAGATTGAGCCTGGCTTTGGGCTCTGCACTGACAGCATGGAGCCTGCTTGGGATTTTGTCTCCCTCTCTCTCTGCCCCTCCCTCATGCACTTGTTGCTCTCTCTCTCAAAATATTTAAAAAAAAAAAATACTAGAAGGTAACCTAATTACCTGATAAATGATGCAGACAGGAACCTCAGGGAGAGAGAAGTTGGTGAATATGTTTTGAGGACCTACTGTGTGCCAGTTACAGTTCTATGTCTTTGTAAATGTTATTTAATGTCTACAGCTTTTATTTTTGAAAAAAGGAAATTGAAGTTTGCTAAATAGTCCAAGGCCATACAGATAGTAAGTAAAGATTTGAACCTAGGTCTGACTGACTCCAGAAACATGCTCTTAAGTGTTCCAAAGGCAATTAAGAGAGCTATAAAGTGATACTGTAAATTGAGGGAAAAATAATATCTAACCGTAGGATCATTAAATTAATGGTATATCCCCACAGTGAAAGGTTATATAATTGCTACAAATCATGTGGTTGAGGAATATTTAGTATTTTGAGAAAGTGTTTGTGATATAATGTGTAGTACTAAAAAGCAATATATAAAAGCATGATTCAGTTTTTTTTAACGTACATATATTTTTTGTGCAGAAAAGATTGGAAGGAAGTACATGGAATGGTTAGTGGTAATCCTCCCAGAGTTCTGGTATTACAGGATGTATGAATTTCTTCTTTGTAACAGTCCATTTTCTAAATTCTGTACAGTGAACATATGCTTTTATAATCAGAAAAAAAAGATCATTTAAAAAGGAAAGCATTAAGAAAAAAGAAGTTAAAGTCTTAGAATTATTAAATTTAGAAATGTTTAGTGTTGACCTTCCATGCCTCTGAAGGCCTGGAAGAACTGGCCTAAGCATCCCAGACAGATTAATGTTCCTATTTTAAGATCATCTCACCAGGATAAGCCACTGTCCCTCTGCCTTCCTGTCAGTTCTGTTGCCCAGTAGCAAGTGGAAAAGGAGTTTTCTTTGTATATTATTTCATGAAGACAAGGTCATGAGAGAAATTCCCATGTCTTGTGAAAATTTTCATTGTATAAAGATCCTTTTTTAAAATAAGGGCAAAATTCAATGCTCCTGCCTGGGCTTTATGCTTTACTTCATAAAAACACTGAAAGAAATTAAATATACTTAAGAGAAATTAGAAGAGAATAGAAAAACTTGGGTTTCCTATTAGTTTTCCGTCAGTTTTCTTTGAAAAGAATCATTCTATGCATGATGTATCTCTGTTCGTCCTCTGGGTGGCTATTTTTCTAGCGGAGCGTGTCTGACTGTCCTCATTGGGATTTAGCACACTCTAGTGGACAGTAACTTTTCAGTTTCGTTGGGCGTTTTTTCAAAATCATGTCAGATTATTTTATTGGATGATTCAGTGATATGCTTACTAGATAGTTAAGTTTGTCAATATTTATTTGAGTCAAGTAGTGATCCAAGTGAGCAGGACTGACTTTATAGGCCACTGGGGTGTTGTACATTTTTATGTTTTTTTTCAGTAGAGAGAAGAGAGGCTTTTTACCTTATGTGGAAACTTTCCCATTGGCTTTTATCTTTTCTCGGGTTGATTGAGAAAAGAGGCAGAGCTGAAATAAAAGCATTTGTTTAGGATCTCAGAAGTGCAACTTGGGGAGCACAGATTTGGGTAGCAACTCATATTGTGTTCCTTTAGGGTACAAAAATCCAGGGTTTAAACAAGACAAAAAGGAATGGGTTTCTTTTGTTGTTGTTTACAAATTATTTTGTCTGGTGTAGGCAGCAGAAAACTAATCTTGTCTGAATATAATTGATTGCTAGGTCTCTCTCTAAGCAAAGTCTCTCTCACTATAGCAAATTGCAGGTGTTTGGGCAGAAGCCTAAGAATATTTGTAGTTTGGCCCAGCTCAAAGTTCGTGGTTTCATCTGGTCATCTCCTTAATGGGCTCCGGCTCCATTTAAAAAATCCCGTGGCATGAATGATTCCATTTCATTTCACCTTTCCCATGGGTAAGATGAAATTGATGGACCAAGACATAGAGGAACACTGGTAGTCTTTCTGTATCTCACATTCCTTGGGACTTTTAGGACTCTTGAAAATTTTTATATAACTCTTTGGGAAAAATTCGACCATTTGTGCACAAACATGGTTGTAGCCTATCCTGATAGATTACTCTTGGAAATGGACTTCCACCAAAAAAAGTAATTTTTAATTTTGTTTTTGCAGAGTGATGGTGAAGATTTTAATTACATTGTTGCATTTTTCCTTGGAACAGCAGCCTGCCTTTACCAGGTAGGGTCTCTTCAATGTTTAAGAAACACTTTCCTGTTATTGTTTGTTTCAGTATCAATTATAATAATTGCTTGTGCACTTTAAATAAATAAAAATAATGTCTGAATTCTTTGCCTCTCTTTTAGTTTGAACCTGTTAGCTTTGTGACCTACATCTCCATTTTGAATGTAGTTAGATCCCAGTGAACTTAGTGTTAACTCCCTCCTGTGCCTGGTTTCCGTGGTACCATGTCATCTGCCTGTGGTGATAAAGGCTACTTCTAGATTTTTTTTGGGTGATTTATTACTCAGCTTCAGGGCTCTGCTTATACTTCAGCATGAGAATTTTGTACTTTTGGGAAAGTCTTTGAACAGGGAACAACAAAAGCAGGATTTTAGGATATTTAATTCAGTAGTGAGGAATAGGGTGGATTGCCAGAGCGGAGAAATTGGAAGAAAGGAAATTAGTTGGAAGTTGATTCCATTAGTTCAGGCAGAAGGCAATGAGAGTGTAAATTCTGGTAATGCTGGTAGGAATGGGGGATGAGGGAAGGACATTGAGGAGGAAGACTCCTAGGACTTGAAGACAGGATAGATATGAGACTTAAGGAGCACGGAGTTTTTGCAGCCGGTAATACGGAGATGGGTACTCGCATTTCTAAGAGAGGAAGCACAGATTCGTAGGGAAAGGAGGGGTAGCCATGCCAGTTACCCAAACTTGGGAGTGTCTTTGCTGAAACACGGTAGAGCAAGCAAGACCTTTTGACCTAACTTTTATAAGTGACACATTTCTCTGGCTTACATAGAAAAAATGTTAGAAAGCTTCGCTTTGGGACTGAAAATATAAGGCTACCTAAAACTCAGTAGAAGTCTCTAGTGAAATACTTTGAATATATGCATTTGACTTTATGTAAAGATGGATTAAAAATTTTAGTTTCAGGGGCACCTGAGTGGCTCAGTGAGTTGAGCATCTGACTTTGGCTCAGGTCATGATCTCTCAGTTCATGAGTTCGAGCCCTGCATTGGGCTTGCTGCTGTCAGCACAGAGCTTGTTTCAGATCCTCTGTCCCCCTTTCTCTCGCTCAACAAAAAAGTAAACGTTTATTAAAAATATTTTTTTTAGTTTCAGGTAGTCCTCTTTTTTAAACTCCTCAAATTTTTCTGAATTACTTGTATTTAGAAATTTTCTATCTAGTTTGATAGATTTAATTATAATGAACGACATTTCATGCAGGAAATGTGAAAACTTGCATTTGTTAATGTCACAAGTGCTTTAATTTTATGAAATATTCTTGGGTAGATTTTTTAAAACTTTAATCTCTGCTATCACACAGACGATATTATCTCATTTTTGAAGATGAGAAATTTGAGGCAGTTTGAGTCCTATCTGGAAATCACATGGCCAGTGAGTGCTGGAGTCAGGACCTAAGTCTAGGTCTTCTGATTTTAAATTTTTTTTTTTTTTCAACGTTTATTTATTTTTGGGACAGAGAGAGACAGAGCATGAACGGGGGAGGGGCAGAGAGAGAGGGAGACACAGAATCGGAAACAGGCTCCAGGCTCTGAGCCATCAGCCCAGAGCCCGACGCGGGGCTCGAACTCACGGACCGTGAGATCGTGACCTGGTTGAAGTCGGACGCTTAACCGACTGCGCCACCCAGGCGCCCCGAGGTCTTCTGATTTTAAATATTGTATTCATTCCACTATCTTAGGCTGTCTGTAAGCAAAATTCTATATTTGTATAATTTTTTATGCTATAAAATTACAATTTTATAATCTTTATATGCATTATTTCATATTCTAAAATAATGTGAGGTAAATGTTAACTTTAAAATAATTTCATGAGTAATTCTTGTAAAATGTACTTTTGGCTGTTTTGCCTTAATGAAATAATTTTAAATACTAATAATAACAAAGTGTATTGAGCTCTTATGTGTGCCAATAAGCCCTTTACATTCCTTGTACCATTAAGTCCTCACAGAACGTCCCACACTAAAGTTACCATTGCCATTTTTCAGTGAGGCCCAGATGTTCCTATAGCCGGTTAGTGACTTGAACTCCAGTCTTGGGCCTCCCAAGCAGTGGTGTTGCTCGTAGAGGCACACCTCTGCCACATTCCTCAAAATAGCTGAAAAGAGTTCTAAGGGGAGCACTGTTGCTCAGCTGTTCTTTTACTGGAGAGAAATTAAACAAATTCATGCTTTAAAAAAGAAAAGCAGAAAGCCAATTTTCTTCTCACTGACAGACAGGAAGCTGCATGCTTTCCACATATGCTGAGCAGAGTGATAATAATGCTGGTTTTTTCCAGAGTGAAACATGTGATTACCTGTTACCATATAACATGCTCCATCTGCTGGTGTCAGGATTTTTTTAATCGTTGTTAGATCAGACCTGAATGGCTACCAGGCTCTGGGGACTTCTGGATGCACAGAGTTCAACAAGATAGGAGTCATCTTGCTATGGAACATTTGAAATAGTATATCAAAGGACCTAGAAACTAGAGACTGTTCTTTTTTCCCCCTCAGTGCTTTACCTTGAAAACTTTCAGACTTCCAGAAAAGTTGAAAGACTGGTACACTTAGAGCCACCACTTTATAACATTTTGCAGCACTTCTGTCTCACTCTCTTTTTGTATGTGTATGCGCATAGTGTGTATGTTGTTTATACAGTAAGTTGCAGACAAATACGTTGAGTATAAAGTTGGTTTCCTTGTTCAACTTTTTATTTTGAGATCATTATAATTGTTGTAAGAGAGATATATAATCTTTACCTGGCTTCCCCTAGTAGTACCAGCGTATACAACTATAATACATTATCACAACCAGGATGTGTGTGTCAGCACAGTGAAGATGTAGAATATTCTTATCACCACCCCTTAGGTTGCCCTTTTATAGCCACATCCACTTCCCTCTGGCCTCTTAATCTCTGGCAACCACTAATGTGTTCTCCATTTCTATAATTTTCTCATTTTAAGCAGTGTTCTATAAAGGGAACCATATAGGTTGTAACCTTTTGTGATTGTTATTTTTTTTACTCCTCATAATTCTTTGGAGATTTTTCCAGGTTGTTGCATATATCAATGTTTTTTCCTTTTTGTTGCTGAATGGTATGGTGTGGTGGCACCACAGTTTATTTTAATCATTCATCCATTGAAGGACATCTGGACTGTTTCCAATTTGGGGCTATTATAAATCTGCTATGAGCATTCATTTATAGGTTTCTGTGTGAAGATGAAGACTCATTTCTCTGAGATAAATGTAGCGGAGTGCAGTTGCTAGGTCTTATAGTAGTTGCATGCTTAGTTTTATTGAGACAGACAAACTGTTTTCCAGAGTGGCATACCCTCCAGCAGTGTGTGAATGCTCCCATTTCTCTGCATCCTTTCCAGCATTTGTTGTTATCACTGCTATTCTGGTCGGTGTGTAGTGATCCCTCGTATTGATTTTAACTTGCATTTACCCTGGTGGCTAATGATGTTGAACATGGTTTCTTGCACTTATTTGTTATCTGTGTGTCCTCTTGGGTAAAATGTCTTTTCATGTCTTTTGCCTCTTTTCTAATTGGGTTGTTTGTTTTTTACTGTCCAGTTTGAGAGTTCTTTGTATATTCTAGACATTAGTCCCATGTCAGAAATGTTATTTGCAAGTATCTTATCCCAGTCTGTACCTTGTCTTTTCATCCTCTTAGCCAGGTCTTTTGCAGAGCAAAAGTTTTTAATTTTGCTAAAGTTCATTTTATCAGTTTTTTCCTTTATGGAAAATGCTTGAGGTTTCAGGTCTAAGAACTTTTTTTTTTTTTCTTTTCACTGAAGTAGAAGTTGACGGGTAGTGTTACATTAGTTTCAGGTGTACACCATAGAGGTTGAACAAGTTTACGTGCTATGCCGTGTAGCTACTGTCTGTCACCACTCACTATTATAATTCCATCGATTCAAGAACTCTTTGCCTACCCCTAGACTCTGAAGATTTTCTCCTTTCTTTTCTTGTGAAAGTTTCATAGTGTTATATTTTACATTTAAGTTCATGATCCATTATTAATTAAATTTGGTATAAGATTGTATAAAATATGAGACTTAGATGATTAGATTGCAAGGTTTTTTTGTGTGTTTTTAGTTATGGGGATTTTTTTGCTTGTGGATGAATGGCCAGTTGCTCCATTTGTTGAAAAAGCTATCTTTTTCCTCCACTGAATTGCTTTTGCATCTTTGTGAAACATCATCAGTCAGGCATATTTGTGTGAACCTGCTTCTGTGCTTAGTATTCTGTTTCATTGATCTTTGTGTCAGTCTCTGTGCCAGTACCACATAGTTTTGATTACTGTGGCTATATAATCTGTATTAAGTTCCATTTTCTTAGTACTTACAGGGTTATTCAAATTATTTTTAGATGAATTATGATAGTTTGTATCTTATGAGGAAGTGGTCTATTTCATCTTCTCAAATTTATGTGTGTAGAGTTGGTCATAGTATTTCCGTACTATCCTTTTGGTGTCTGTAGGATCTGTAGTGATATTCTCTGTTTCATTCCTCATGTTGGTAATTTGGATCTTTTTCTCTAGCAGTCTTGTTAATTTCATTGATCTTTTCAAAGAAACTGCTTTGTTTTGTTGTTTTTTTCCAATATTCGATTTTATTGATTTCTTCTCTTTTATTACTTCCTCCTTCAAGCTTGCTTTGGTTTACTTGGCTCTTTGTCTAGGTTCTTGAGATGGGAGCTTAAATAATTGATTTGAGAATTTTCTCTTTTGCAATATATACATTTAGTGTTATAACTTTCCCTCTTTGAGCACTTTATTATCTGTGCTTCATAAATTTTGATATGTTGCCTTTTTTCCATTTTTTTGGTTTTTTTTAATTTTAATTTTAATTTTTTTCAAGTTTTTATTAAATTCCAGTTAGCAGAGTGTAATATTAGTTTCAGGTGTAGAATCTAGTGATTTAATCACTTACAGCACTCAGTGCTCATCACAGGTACCCTCTTTAATACCCATCACCTGTTTAACACATCCTCCCACCCACTTCCCCTCCAGAACCTGCAGTTTGTCCTGTATAGTAAGAGTCTTTCTCCTGGTTAGCTTTTCTCTTTTCCCTCCCTGTGTTCATCTGTTTCTTTTTTTTTTTAATTCCATATATGAGTGAACTCAAATGGCATTTGTTTCTTTCTGACTTATTTCATTCTTTTTTATGGCTGAGTAATATTCCATTGTATGTATACACCACATTTTCTTTATCCATTCATCAGTCAATGGATATTTGGGTTCTTCCATAATTTGGCTGATACATTGCATTTTTATTTTCATTTAATTCAATGTATTTTAAATATTTTTTCCTTGTGGCTTCCTCTTTGACCTATGGATTATTTAGAATTTTGTCTTGCTTTTGTTTTGCTTCCAAGAGTTTGAAGATTTTTCAGTTTTTTTCTATTATTTATTTCTAGTTTGATTCCACTGTGGTTGGAAAACACTCTGTGACTTCTGTTCTTTTAAATTTGTTGAAATTTGTTCTATGGCTCAGAATATGGTCTGTCTTGGTATATGTCCCATGGGCACTTAAACAGAATGTGTTTTCTACTATAACTAAGTAAATGCTTTATAGTTCTCAGGTAGATCATGATGGTCGATGGTATTCAGCTTTTCTGTATCCTTGTTGATTTTCTATCTAGTTCTGTCAGTTGAGAGAGAAGTATTGAAGTTTTAAGTTATAATTGTGGATTGGTGTATTTCTCATTTAAGTTCTATCAGTTTTTGCTTTGCCTATGTTGTAGCTCTGTTGTTTGGTTCATACACATTTAGTATTGTTGCCTTCTTGGTGGATTGATCCATTTATCATTATATGTTATATCACTATATAATATAAAAATATATATAATATATGATGATATATCCCACTCTAGCCCTTTTTTGAAATAATTTTATATTTATCTGATAGTAATACAGCCATTCATGCTTTCTTTTGATTAATGTTTGCATATAATATATCCTTCTCCATCTTTTTACTTTCATCTTGCCTACATTATTTGAAGTGAGTGTCTGGTAGACAGATTAAAAACTGTTTCTAAATCTGCTCTGCAAATCTCTGTTTTTTTAATTGTATTTAGGCCATTACACTTAATATAATTATTGATATATTAGGGCTTAAGTTTGCCATCTTATTTTTTGTTTTCTGTTTTTCATTTTTCTGTTTTCTTTTTCCTGCCTTCCTGTGGGTTATGTGAATGTTTTTGTAGAACTCCATTTTTATTTATCTGTAGTGGTTTTGAGTTTATCTCTTTGCATAGCTTGTAAATGGTTGCTCTAGGTATTAAATTACACATACTTAGCAGTTTTTTGGTGTTGTCATTTTACTAGTTCAAGTGAAACACAGAAATTGTATCTCCTTTTATGTCTCTTTGTCCCCTATTTATAATTTGTCTTGAATATTTCCTCTACATACATTTAGAACCACATCAGACCGTGTTATTAATTTTTACTTCGGCCATCAAACCTAATTTAGAAATCTCAGGAGGAGAGGGAGAACCTATTACATTTATCTATATTTTTGCTGACGGTGCTTTTTGCTTTCCCAGTGTTCCAGGGTTTTTTCTTTTAGTGTTTCCTTTCTGCTTCGAGAACTTCCTTAAGTCATTCTTTTCGGGTGCCTCTTTAAGTGCCAAATTCTCTTAGTCTTTCACCTGGGAATGTCTATATTTCTCTTCCCACAATATACTTATTAATTACAAAGGGGAAGATACTAACTTCACAGTGGAGAAACCTGTTAGACCCCATCTTACCAAGAGGTCAAAATTAACATCACCAATTATAAGATACATTGCACATCACCTCTGTGGTATTCTTGCCCAAACTACATATCTTCAGTTCAGTCTTGAGACAATATCAGGCAAAATAAAATTAAGGGACATTCTACAAAATAACTTTCTACAAAATAATTGATACTCTTTAGATTGTCAAGGTTATGAAAAACAAAGACTTGAAGAGCTATAACAGATTTGAAGAGATAGGACAGCTGAATGCAGTAGGGAATACTGGATTGAATTGGACCAGAAAAAGGGCCCTAGTGGGACAACTGGCAAAATTCCAATAAAGTCTATAGATTAGTCTACAGTATTTTATCAGTGTTAATTTTCTGGTTTGATCACTGTACTGTGGTTATGCAAGAGGATACCATTAAAGGGAACAGGCTGAATGAAGGCTATACAAGGACTTACTGTTTTTACAACTCTTCTCTAAGACTAAAATTATTTCAAAAGGAAAAATTATTTTTCCAACATTTTTTACACAATGCAAATCACTGAAATAAAATAATGCTTCCAGTTCATTTTGCTTGGATATCCGTCTTCTCTTTAAGTAACGCAAAGTCCTGATTTGTGTAAGAAAAGATTTAACAGAACATTTCCATATTCTTTGTGCATTGTTGCAAACACCTTAAAGCCCTTCCTATACTGAAGCCTGGATACAATTTCACACAAAGACCTGTGCTTCTTTGTTAAGACTTTGTAATCACATATGATTCTATATTTAACAGATTGTGAATTTTAGATCTCGTCTAGAAAACAGTTTATTCAGTCAGATTTTTATTGAGCAATTACTATGTGCCAGGCACTGTTCTGGGCACTGGAGATAAATGAGTGAACAAGACAATCAAAAATCTCTCCTCTCATGAATATAGATAACAAACAAAACAAGCATATTTTTAAAGTGTGTTTATAGTTACATTGTGGAGAAAAATAAAGCAGGAAAAGGTGAATACCCGGATTTGGGGGTTGGGAGAGTAGTTTCTTTACTATATTTTCGAAAATAGCAATCATCATATGCTCTGTCCCCTTTTCAGTCTTTTATTTTAAGGCATAACTATTTGATATTTTATATCCTCTATCTAATCTCTTATATATATATATAATCTTTCTTTCTACACTAGGATGTAAGCTCCATGTGAGCAAGGGCTTCATTTGGTTACTTGAAACTAGAGAACAATGCCTAACTTGTAGCAGGACCTCAATAAGCATCTGTTGAATGAATTCTAGCTCAAACGTTCACTCAGATCCTCTACCTTGCTTAGTTCCTTGCACTTAATGGGGGATCAGTAAGTATTTGTTGATGTCATTAATATGCAGATTCAGGTTATATAAGAGTCCATTTTGCTATAGTTTGGTTGAGTTTTTTGTACTTTTCTGGGATGACCATGAGAGATGGAATCCCCTTAGACCTTGAGAATGCTTCAGAGTTGCCTGTCCCCTTGAGGAATGTGTTCAGGCTGTTTGCAAGGGAGTTATCCACTTGTAACTCCATTTTACATGTGATATAAAATGTTGTATCTTTTGACAAATGAAAAACATAAAAGGAAAAATCTGTTTTCAAGCTGTACAGCTTTCACAGTGAATGTCTTAAAGATGTTACATTATCTTATCTGTAGATGAAAAATCCCCTCATATTTTACTCTCTGGCCTGTTAATATTTTATAGTAGAAGCATCTGTTTCTTTTCTTGTAACCCTAATCATCTTTCATTTTATATTTTGAACAGTGTTATTTACTTGTCTACTACACCGGCTGGCGGAATGTCAAATCTTTTTTGACTTTTGGTTTAATCTGTCTGTGCAACATGTATCTCTATGAACTGCGCAACCTCTGGCAGCTTTTCTTTCACGTGACCGTGGGAGCGTTTGTTACACTACAGATCTGGCTAAGGCAAGCCCAGGGCAAGGCTCCTGATTATGATGTCTGACACCATCCTTCAGACATACTGCCTTGGCTTCTGGGGAAAAAGGAGGGAGTATATTTAACTGCCACTGTGATGAAGAAACTGTTCACCACAATCAAGAAGCTCTGCTTTCTTTTTCTCCAGCTATCCTTTTTGTTTCAAGTCAGCATGGCATGCCTGGGAGCATATAGTACCTGTTAGGCAAACTTCATATTAGCCGTGAGATTATTATTCAGAGGAAGAGACTTCTGTCTCCAAGGCCATGACAGTGGAAGAACAGTCAGATGCCATTGGAAGACTTGGCCAGCAGTCCTGAATCCTTCTGAAGAGTTCAATCAAAAATGTATGTGGTACATGCTCTGAGGACCGAGTGGGAACTCTATGACCTGGGTTCGCCTTTATGAGGCATGAGTATAGCCCAAATAAAAAGATGCCACAAGGTTTATATTTAAAACAACTTGCTAAATATCAGATTATTTGCACATTTAAGGTACCATGAGTTTATGAAGTCTAGGATGGTGTGGAATTGGTTCTTTTCGTCTTATATTTTTGCTTGAATCTAAACTCTGGAAATCACTTGATGTATGAGAAAGCTGTTATAAGCGCATCTTTCGAACATCACAAGTACTGAAAACACAGTAACCTATGTTTCCTTTCTAGACCATGTTTGTAGTTTCTTTTGAAATCACTTTTTAAAAATGTGGTTTGTTAAATTATAACCATCGTTTCCCAAACTTCAATCACTTAAGTATTATATATAAGTATTATTTCTTAATATTATCTTTAAATTTTAAAATATTGTAAAAACAAACTAATCTCTACTCCAAGAGGAAAACCGGCATCAATTTACCATGAATAAAGGGTAACAACAAAATAAAATTAAAACAAGAAATGTTATTAAATTCTAACTAGATACTAATGTCTGCTAAGGTGTTGAATCCAAGAAGCCTGCTGTGTGTTGCAGTGAGAGAGATGTTACCCAGCACCAAAATGGGGCTCTCTCTGTGGGATTATGAGAAGAATGAAAGAGAATTGTAAAGGGAATGACATTCTCACTGTGATTCTGCATTATTTAGCTCTGTGTTGTATACCACCTAAAATCCTCCTGTGTGCTACCAACGGTGTGGGGCCGGAACACTGAACTTGTACTAAGAGAATCAGAAGGTAACTTCTCCCAGCAACTCTTATTATTTTATGGCTTTGAGGAGTTCTGCACCTAATTTCTTAGAGAACTCGTTTGTTTTTTCATAACATTATAAAGATTGTTCAAGAGGTTATGAATTAATAATATAGGAAGCACAATTTGATTCCATTAGCAAAAATCTACATCTCTACTGGTTTTGCAAGTTACCTTCATTAATGATTTTCTTTTGTTTTTAGAGAAAAGATTCCAAACAAGGAATACATAAGGAATACGAATTTAAAATTTGATATCCAGAAAACAGTGGACCCATTACATATAACTCATGTTACTGGGCATATTTATTAAGCAGAAGAAATAGTCCGGAGGGGTAAAGTCGTTGAACTACCATGTTTGTTTGAACCTGTATATGTAGGCATGCCTGCAACTAACTGTAAAATCTTGCTAACTAGAACTTTTTGCTGCACTCCCTTTTTAGGAGAATGAGGCAAAAGGAAGACAATAAGCTTGTAATGTCAGGGATTTATTTAAAACCGGAAACTCAAGTTCACTTCAGTTTTCTGCCTCTAACAAAACTGCAGAGAAATTATATATATTCTGAGAGCTGCCCCAAGATATACCACATGATCCTGACTCATCAAAATAAAACTGTTTGGCATTTTGTACTTTTGAGCCAGGAGAGTGAAGTGGTTCAGTGTGGAAAGATTTTTCTGAACTAACTGTTAAAACAAGAGGAGTTCTCTTGTAAATAACCAATTAACCAAGAAGTTGGAGCATTCTGGTTAATTGTGATTTTGCTATATATTGATACTTAATAGCTCTCTTACCAGTTTGGTTCACTTTGGTTTTCCTTTATCATTGAATTATTGAATTATGGTGTTTGGTGTTTTGGATCAGTCAGCAAAGACACTTGAAAACTCACCAGCTGTTTAATTTGTTTTTTTGCTTTTGTTTTGTTTTTTTCTATTTTTGGATAATGGGATGTTTACATATTAATGTAAAAACTGAAAACAGGTATAAATAATGTTTTATGTATAGAAATGCTTTTTTTTTTCATTATTTGGTATCTGCGTCGCTGAGTGTTTATATAACTTCTCTGCCCTTTCGTGTTGTTGCCAAAGAAACTGTGAATTTGGAATGAAAAATTTTTACCGTGAGTATAACGTTTTTAAGCTCCTTAGGCTTCTAATGTGTATGATAGTAATACCGCACTGTTACTTCTAAGAGCAGTTCCGCATTTACCTAATCATAATGAGTTTTGTCATGGAGGCTGAGAATTAGTTGTCCTCTTGTTATGAAGGAGGAAACTGAGGTAATCAGATGTTAATGACTTATGTAGGGTTACAGAGCTAAGCACATACAACTCCTAATCCCTTAGCCTTGGGGCCCTGCCTCCCCAGAGTGGACACTGATGAAGATAACTAGGGTTGCACTCAGGAAATAGATCTGTTCTTGGTAAAATCAGGGAATTGGGAACTTAATGAGCTCAGGCCTGCTAGTGTCAAATATAGGTGTGTATTAAGGTGACTCTGAAATACTGCTCTTTTATTAAGGTGTTCTAAAAGTAATTACAGTATTTGCTTACGATATTTGCTTGGTCTGTATTTGAAATGTATTTATACCTAGCCCATTTCCCAAAAACAGTTGAAGCACCCTATACCAAAATAAGACAAATACAACAGCAGTAACTATGAACAGAAAGGAAGAAACACAAGATCAGTGAAAATGAAAGGTGAACATGTTGCTGTTACCAAGTGTGAAATTTGACTTTTGAACTTCCTGGAAATCATGGCTAGGAGGGAAACAAGTTTCCCGTCGCTAGCTCTGTCTGTAAGAGTATACCAGTTCCTCAGGGAAGACATCTTCCTGAGGGATTTTGGTAAAGAGGTTCACGCTTGGGAGTCCTGTGAAATGCTAAAATGAACAAAATCCTCAATGGTTTTAGCCGCTTGCATATTAATGATTGTGCCTTGATCCTTGACTTGTACCAGTTTTCAGAGGCGTTCATTTAAGGAGTTTCGGTGTGGTTAATAGAGGATTTTGTTGGCATGAGGAAGAATTCTTCTCCTAAGCTAAAAATAGGTACGTGTTAAAGCTTGAAAATCCATTTGAGACAAATGCCTAGAGACATAGACCTTTACCTAATTCTGTCATTTTATAATTCATATAAAGTTAATGTGCTGCCCCTGGATTAGCACATTTATTTTGTATTAAATGTGGTCTTTTTCACAATGGAATCTAGTCTGGAGAAATGACTGGTTACATTTCTGTTAGGCAGTGTCTGGATTTGTCAAGGCTCCACAGACCAGGTTTGTCATATGAGCTTTAACCTCCATGTCACATAAGTGCTTCCTGTTGAGTTTAGCCACCCACCAAAATGGGAGTTGCTTGGCTTTATTCCCAAAGTCTTACTAAGTAACCTATGGAGCCCCACTCTGAGCTGTTGGATTTCCAAGAGACACAGCAAAATGTGTGTGCGTGTGTGTGCACACTTGTGATGTTATTTTAACAGACTTTTAGTTTATTTTAAAAGAGCTGTCATGAAGTATATAGTAAAACAACAAATAAATTGCACTTGACCTTGAATAAAGCAGGGGTTAGGGGCACCAACCCCTCCCCAGTGCAGTCAGAAATCCATGTGTAACTACTTTTCTAATAGCCTACAGCTGATCAGAAGCCTTACTGATAACATAAGCAGTCAATTAACACATATTTTATATGTTCTATGTATTATATACTGTATTCTTATAGTAAAAATCTTAAGATCATAAAGAAGAGAAAATACATTTATAGTACTGTAATTCTAAAAAAGTCCACATGTCAGAGTGCCTGGGTGGCTCAGTTGGTTGAGGTTCCAACTCTTGATCTCAACTCAGCTTGATCTCAGGGCTGTGAGTTCAAGCCCTGCATTGGGCTCGGTGTTGGGCATGCAGCCTACTTAAAGTCCACATGTAAATGGCCCCACACAGCTGAAACTTGTATTGTTCAAGTATCAAGTGTATTTCAAAGGCAGCTACCATTCAGATCAAATTGAACACTTTACCACAAATTACAGGTAATTCTTCAGGGCTGCCATCTTTGTCTGTGGTCAAGCCTTCTTTGTATTTTCCTACTTTATCATCTCTAAGGAAATGCTGTAGTAAAATCAACCTGATTTTTTTATTTTGATTGGCTTTAGTAATATGCTACTTAAAAGTTAAGCACCTTCAACTCCAAGGGTTATGAACCAGCTTGTGTGTAAAGGCTGTGTTGGCTGAGAATTTACCTCTTCTATTCTTATCGGTTAGGGTTAGAAATGTCTGATCATCTTCATCAATGTTCTGAGACTGCTGTTGAATGCTGGCTTATTTTAGCATATTTCAGCTCATATTTCTGAGCGGTGAACTTTTCAAAGAGAAGCAGTGTCTGTGGCTGCCACTCTTGTAACATCTTCTTTGAGTGGCCAAGTTTTCTGAGTTACTCAATTTCACAAGATGAAGTCACAGTGTTGAACATACTGTTGAATGCACTCAGTGGTTGGAAGCCACGTGGCTTGTATCCTCCTTGCTTGTGAACAGGGAGTGCAGTTGACATGTGTGTACATGTTTTCTTTTGCATTGGCAGTGCCCGTATATAATAAGTAGTCTTAGCACAATTGGAGGCTGTAGGAAACTCCAGGAGAGAACAGGCTTAATTCTAAAGAGTTCCTGAAATCCATACCGTAGCCTTATGAATTGTTCCTGCTATTTCCTTGGTAACAAACAGTATTTTCAGCCCCACCTCACCCACAGTTCATATTTGCCCCTTTTCCCTGCATCCCACAGCACAGCAGTGCAAGTGTCACTGAACGGAAGCATATTCAGGCTCCACCTGAGAGTAGGAAACAGGACTCCAAACTTTTGTTTCCCATTTGGTCCTGGCGGCCCTCTGCAGCTCTGCCTTCATTGTTTGCCTCCTTAGTGCCAGTGCTTTTCTGTGAGGCTTCGGCTCTCCATGACCTTGCCAACAATATTTGGCCTTCTACTTGGAATTCTTCCAGTGCCGGGGACTAATGATAAGAATTCTTAGCACCTTTTGTGGGCCAGGGCTAGATCCTCCTACATGGTTAATCCTTAGGGCAGCCTGGGGGATGGGAGGCACTATCTCATATTT